TAATAATAATAAAAGTTTGTAATATTTAATAAAATAACCAATATTAAAACGATTTTATTAAATAAATTATTACTAGTAATATTTAAATAATTGTTCTTTTATCTTTTTTTATTACTTATTATCTCTATGTGTTTATATAATTTTCAAGATCTCAATTATAATTTTGCTTTGAAATTACATAAAATTACATAAAATAATATAAAATTTATGCATAAATTTTAATATAAACGTATATTTGATACAATTTGTTATGTATTTTACCTGATAATTACTATACATGCATATAATGGTTTTATTTTTGCCAAGCCCCAATTTACTTCCTTGATCCGTAGCCATGCCAAAAGTAGATAAAAAACTGGCTCTTGTAGCTAACTCTGGTGCCTTTTCATTAGCTACGGATATAACAGGTACTCCATCCCTGTCAGTAATCAATATGCTATGCAAACCTTCCACATCAGTTAATAGTCCATAAAGAAATTTCTTCAATTCCTAAAATAACAAAATCATAATTCATAATAAATGATATTTCAAAGAAAATTTGATAATTACTAATATGTTTATCTGCTGCGATTATTGTGTCAATTGTAAATATATAACAATATTGTATGTAGATATAAATGCAAAAAGATGATTGATTTCAATTAAAAAAGCATAGAGATGGCACACGATAAGAAAAGTTTTAAAAATATTTGTCAGAATAAAATTTCTTGTAAGCATAATTCGTTTTACAAATTTTGTTTTGATACTCTGCTCCACAAATGCTCCAAAAATTATACAAAATTTTAGATTAGAATGTTATTTATTATATTTATTTCAAAGGAAATACTGTATATACTTTATGAAATCATAATATTTCTTGTCATTTCGCAATTTATGGCATTAAATAATTTATTCAATTATTTGAATAATTATTAAATAATTATTCAAATAAAATATCGCTAAAAAATTTTTTTATTACTAATAAAATAGCCAAGCTTGAAAAATTTTTTAAAAATTTCAAAAAAGATTTATTAATGTCAGATGTACAATTTTTTAAGAGTATTCTTTATAAATCATTCTAATGACCTGACCAAACAAATCTGTTAAAAAATAGATTTTGAAAGTATGCTACGATTTTGTTGAGAATATCAATAAATTTGATCATGTTACATGTTTCAACATGATCTTACCATAGCTCCTACTCACTCTGTACTTGGTGGAACATGCAACACGAACAAACTTAAAGCTGATTCTACAATGAGTAGAGATAGTCGAAAATTTTAAGTCTTAGCCAGTCTTAACCAAAATAGGACACTATGATTTTTTACATCTACAAGTTATTAATTATACAGCGAATCGTTTAGATCGATAGGAGAATAAATACAAAATCGAATTTGGCCAATTCTAAAAAAATTGGTAGTCTTCATCATACAAAATTGGATACTGGCCAATTTCACTGATTCATCGATAAGATTTAGGAACTACCCATCTACCAACTCATTATAGAATCAGCATAATAGAAATAGAAGATAATATAATGGTAAATTGATTGGAGAAACTGAACAAAAGTTGCCATTTTGTAATCATTTAAATGATGTATTCTCTTATAATATTGAGAGTAATAAAGATTCATCTTCATCTAAATTATTTATTCCATTTAAATGTTTACAAACTGACAGATTGAATGTGGTTTTTATTAATAATCTGCTGATAAAATATCGACAAGCTCTGTCGACAAAATACGAGTACAGACAATCTGTTGCAATACATATCTGGAAATCAAATAATGAGGAAATATGTCTTCTGTTATACTGTCATATTGCAACAGATAGTCTGCTTTCTTCTATGAGATAAGTTAAACAAACTTTTATTAATACATTTACTATTTATTGGGTTGTCCGGAAAGTTCGTGCCGACTAACCTACATAATTTAATAAATGTATACTAAAATTTAAATCTGCGTTTCAATTTTCCTTCAAAATCGGCACGAACTTTCCGAACAACTCAATATATCATATGCAATATATGATCAATTCTTTTGTCACAATTTTTAAAACTTCTACAACAGCATGATAAAAAAAGATTTCTATTTTATGTATAAAGCTGATTCTATCATGGGTCGGTAGTCTTATAAAATAAATCTTAAATAAACAATCTTAATCTAAATAGGTGACTATGACTTTTCGCATTTATAAGTAGTTAAATGTTAACAGCGAGTCATTTATCTCGACTAATAGAAAGGAATAAACTCAAACTCAAATTTGGTCAATCTTAAAAAAATTGGTTAACTTGATCGATTCACCGATAAGATTTAGGACTACCGATTACAGACTCTATTGAGAATATGAATTATAATATTGATCTGTTGGTAACTACATTAAACTAAACGCGAGAGATGGCATTATTTTTGAAAGTTGCTCATCTGTCAAAAGTTTTGAACATCACTGTTGCTCTTCCCTTTTTTTTATGGATCTTTGTACAAGCGGTCGTGTCTTGCGAGGCCTTGCAGCGGCGATATTTGATAATTTTCTCGTTTCAGATAAGTTTAGAATAAGCAATCTGTCACTGTACGAAGTACTAGAATCGATCTTTGCTTATTTGACTCGATATTAAGATTAATATTACACTGTAACATTTTTGAAACTTCTGTTCTTCTCTTGTTTTCTTTCCGATTGTAAGTTCTGTTCTAATTAAATGTAATTGGACTTAAATGAATCGTGTATTCATTTTATTTAGAAACTTTCTACAGACTCACTGTGGAATCATCATAAACAAAACAAAGCGTATAACCTTAAACTTAATATATAATATAAAGCTTTTTTATACCGGATGTCCTAACTTACCACTGTCATTCTTTCCAAAGAACGTGCACAAATTTGTAAACGACAATCAAGTGACAGGATTAATCCTTTGAAGCGCACACTGCTATGATTATTGACTGACTATAAAAATTGACTAATTTCGGTTGACAGTTAATCACGCTTAAACTTGATCAGCGTTGATGAAACCAGTCCCTAAGGTCTGTTTTTTACTGCTACACTCTCTGAACTGGTGTACACGGTGCAATAAATTGAAACGAAACAAAAATATACGTTTGATTCACTTCAATTCAGAGAGCGCAGCAATAAAAAACAGACCTACCGTCATAGGTAGAAAGGTAACATTTTTTTTCGATTAATTTTACTAATTGACCAATCAAAAAAATGCCTCGAAGCATTCGTAGTGTAAAGTCACTAAATTTATAAAGTATCGCAATTGATTTCTGAAATGTTGCGTCAATATGGCGGAAGTTTCAAACATGGTTGGTGGCATGATGGAAAGAATATAAGAGTGAAATTGCGCATAATGACGATAGCAATACTGGAAATAATTAGATATTATCCTATGAAGGTTGTGTTCCAAATTTACTGCCAGCATTGAAATTATTATAGTTTATGTTACGTGTGCACTATAGATTTTCAGTATTTTGAACACAATCTAAATAAAAAAGTCTAAATTAAGCATTTATACATATTTTTTTGGTCATAAATAAACTATTATTAATTACAATTAAAAAACATTTATTTGATGGCTTCATTTTTCTTAAATAAAGAATATATGTATATACAAATGTGTAAATTTGAAATGGCCGCATTTCAAAATGAAGGCGTTTGCAATACTCAATAAAGTGACTTTAGTTGAGAATTTTCTAAATTAACTGAATTCGCTCTTTCCAGTGCACTGACTGTTTCTATTTTGACTTGAGGCAGTTGATAATAGTTGATACACTTTTTAATGCGTCTGATGCGTTAATTCACATATATCATTAACTTTAATTTTGTTAATAAATAATTTACACGTTACTGCTCTGTGTTGGTTGGTTCTTATTGATTTTTGTTCCTTTTTAAATTGTTCTTTTTAGGTTTAGAGAGCCTATAACTTTATTGTCTTATTATTATTATATATTCTTGTTAAGGTTACATATATTTATTCTAAAAAGAATTAGGTAACAATAGATAAATTCATTAAGTCAAAAAATAAATATTATCTATATATTCAATGATTTCTATAGATATCTTGTGTCATCTTTGTAGCCGTACTGTTTTTAAACATGGTTGGCCATACCTTTTTACAGCCTCTTCAAGGAAAGCATTCTCCATTTGTCTCACAATTTCATTAAAAAATAAATTTGACAAATGAGAATAAATGGTAGACTTAAACTCGAAAGACAAGGAGAAGTCAATCACACATGTTTCTAAATTATTTTTCAGTCCAGGACTAAATAACCACAGGGTATCTAAATGATGAAACAATCTGCCATCCTTACATTCGGCTTTAACTAGCCTTGGATATACTGTAGTCACTGTTGAAGTATAATTTTCGTTTATAGGTGGAAACCCAATTACTAAATTGGCCTTCAAGAAGTCTTTGGTTTTCAAAGTAATTTCAGATTTTTTGCAAAAGGGTAAAAAATTTTTATAATTTCCCACATCGGCAACTACGTAGTACATTTTCTCCATTGAAAAGCTAAAGAACAAAAAATTTGGATACTTGGATATATTTTATAACGAAAATATACACAATTTATAATATATACATGAATTATTTAAATATATGAATTATTTAAATATATATATGAATTATTTAAATAGATTTGTTTCTTTTAGCTAAACTTATTACACAATACTCATCTTTCCCCTTTTTTTGCCTATTGTGAGAAAAAAAAAAGAAAAGATGAATTGCGCAACAAGATCAATTAAAACAAATGAATCTAATATATTAAAATATAAAAAAAAGTTTGCAATAAATATAAATATCATTTTAAATATTATTTAATATAGTATAAAATAAAACAAATTATTATAAAATAAAAGGATTATTAAAAAATCTTTTCCTCTCTGTTCTTATTACCCCACTAATTTGCGACCTTCGTATTCTTTGGTTTTATGATTTGCTCGTGTTCTGTACATTCGCCACAAATTCCATTTAGAAAAATCATATTTCCAAGGCAATGTTAATTGTGTCAGGATCAATGCGTGCCTAAAATGTTTTTACAAACTGGTAAAATATTTTTACAGTTTTGCATCCTGTAGCTCAAAAATTAAAATTAAAATTGGGCTTACTTGATACATTTTTGTATGATGTGAAAGAATCTAGCAGAAATAAGCGTCGTTCTGCCCTATGAATCAAAATATTAATTGATAAAGTTGATGATTATTTACAAGTTAGGAAATGTATGAGCACGCGCTGCTATCACATTTTTATAGTCATATATGTATACGTTTCAGGTATTTCTCGCAATTTCAGGTACTTTTCTGCTTTAAAAACAAAAATTATATAAGAAAATAATTTGTGCTTTTAAAGCAGAGAACTTGTGTAATTAAAGCAAAAAATATTTATTTTACCCTCACTTACATGTCTCGTATCTCTCTATGCCATCGATGTAACAGATTTCCTAATCTAAATAGTCATCAACTTTAACGAGTAATATCTTTGTTCTCGCAAATCTCGGGCAATCTCAAAGCACAACGCATATTTCTGCTAGACTCTTTTGTTTCATGCAAAAATGCCTAATGTCGAATAAGCTTAATTTTATTAATTTTTTAATTGCGGGATGCTAAACTGTATAATTAAAATTACATGAAATACATTACCTGCGCATGTCGAGTATAAAATATTCAATTATGTCACAATATTTGACGTGCACGTTTAGCTTTAGCCTCTCACACGTCAAAATCTCATATAACCTAAAAATAAAGCTAACACTTTCTACATTTAATTGTCGATGGTATAATGTAGGTACGTGACAATTGTAATCATAATTTTTTTGATAATTATTTAGAATAACTTCCCCCCGCTTCAAATCTATAATCTAAAAAAATACATTTTCGATACAATTATTCGATATATTTTCACTCAAAACGAAAGAATCTGGCAAAAAAACGCGGCGGGTGGCTTTGAATTATTAAGCGTTGAAGACTTTAGAGAGAGAGACTAAGATTTCAGAGATTAAAATGTCATTTCGACTTGATATACAACTCTATGTATAAGTTTTGCATTAATTATACAAATTCACTGTTTTAAAAACACAAATTTACTGCTAATGCAAAGAATTTATGTACTTAAAGCAATTAATTTTTGTTTGTAAAGCAGTGAATTTATGTTTGTAAAACAATTTGAGACGACAATTAGCTTTCGTTTTTAGCACTTTGAGTTGTATCCAGTGAGAAAGTTAATATCAATACAACGGTATGTCTTGGACATCAAAATTAGCCCGATGGCTTTGATGAGGGTAAAAAACTCGATATGTGTTTGAATTTTGATTTATTTTCGAGTTGCCTTAAATAAATGATAAATAGCTACTCCTGTTATTACTGTCTTGTTAAATTGTAATATTAGGTGTGGGAAAAAGTTCGTGGCGTTTTTCCCGTTAGATGGCATTAAAAAAACGCCACAAACTTTTTCCCACACCTAATATTATAATTATTGCATATCCTTTTATATGTAAAATCTTGATACGAAATCGATACGATATCAATATAATATTTTTGCTTCATTGAAAAAACTTCTCAATTCGACATCGATTTGACGTCAATTTGATGAGTCATTTTTTTTATTGATAGAGAGAAAGAAAAAATGATCAATCACATTGGTGAACAAACCGAATTATTGTTCAAATGCAATTGGTCACTTCTCTCTCCGAGATCTCAAATCGATTTCCAACATTGTGGAACAATTAAAACTTTAAGGGTATGGTCAAAGCGATATTGCAAACGCTTTAAAGCATTTTTTAATTGGTCAGTTTGTAAAATTCTTTCTTCTAATTGGCCCATCAAACTCTTCAAAGCATTTGTGACGAGACTTTAACCACAGCCTAAAATGATGACTAATCGTGACTAATCAACCCGGGCGATATGAGCAGTGAAGTAAAAATTATTTTTTTACGTAACTGTAAAAATCGCCTCGTTGATTGGTTACTGCTTCCGCTGCCTGCTTGCATGTGAATGTATCTTTATATGACAGCATCGAGCATTGTGAGATTTCTATTCGTCAATTTTGCTCACGTGACCTGTTTTTAGTGAATAATAAGGTCACAATACTCGACGCTCATCGCTTGATCTCTCTCCTATGTAAAGGCACGTTTACGTTTTTGTATGTGCCATGGACTATTTTTCCACCATGAACTATAAACAGAATGCAACCCTTGTCGGCCCTTGCGTTTAAAGTGCTTTCAAGTTCGAATTATGCAGAATTTAACCAAGTACTCGAAGCGATATTTTATGGTGCCAAGTCGAATATTTAATTTCCCATCCAAAAGAATTTATTTTCCCAATGAAAAACTTGTTTACAACGTCAAACACTTGAATTACGCGCACAATAATGGAGCTCATAGGTTATTTCTTTCTATGTCTTATCATGTAAATATCAACATATTTCTGTGATCTTTTATTCCGATTCCTATTTATTTAACTAATTAATTTTTAATTTGTCTCAATAAGTAAACTGTCTGCAATAAGTCAACAGATTGGCAACAGATATTGCAATAAGTTATGCGTTTGCATTTGGCTATTCCAGTGTAATAATAATCAACCTGAATTGGTCTTTATATAGATATAATATGGATATATTTGACAGAAAAGAAAATCATTAATGAGAATATGCACCTAATAAAGTTTGTTTGGAAACAGATTTTACAAGGCGTCTGCTACAAATTTTGTCAGAAAAAATCCAGTAAAAATAGCGAAATTATATTAATATAGAATAAGATGGCAAATATCAAGCAGTATCTATCATTTCACAATTTAAATAATATATTTTATTAAAATGGTTACAAAATGATAGATTCTGCCTGATTTCTGCTGATAATCTGTTATAAGATTTATGTCAGCAGTATCTAGCAGAACATAAGCTTAATGTAAATGCAACTGCTAGTCAGTAATATTAGTCCTAATATTCTAGTCCTAATGTTCTATTTAAATCTGATTGCAAACTGCTACATGTATGTTAATAATTTGCTGGATTTGTTTTTAGGCTTATAAGAAAATTCGTAAAGAATTACATACTGTGCAGTCGACATTGTTGTGCAGTAGTAAATTTAGCTTTTCTCCAAGATTTAATAGTATTAGATATTTTAATACTACATGTAGTAATTCCAATAAACAATCATCAAAGAAATCAGGCATAGATAATTCAGACAAGAAGCCTGATGACGGAAATGAAAATATGAAATCAATTATCACTAAGCTCTCCATGTTGCTTATGTTTATATATGTTGTATTAATTGCATTGAAATACCAGCTAGAAATGTATTTAAATTCAGAAGTAAGTTTTTTCTCGACAACATTTGTCATAGGAATTATTTTCATAAGAAGATAAAGTATTACAATGTTTACATAGCCTGCAACTTCTGTCTCCTGGAATGAATTTGTATATGACATGTTGAATAAAGGAGAAGTTGAAGCGATTATTGTAAATCCTATTATTGACTATGTTACAATTGTGGTGCATGATGGTGCTATTATTAAAGGAAAGAGAAGCTTTTACAAGAGATATCTTATGGCTGTTCCAAGTATTGACAATTTTGAAGAGAAACTGAGGAAGGTGGAAAAAAATCTTGGCATAAAAGCAGGTAAATAAATCACTTGCAAAGTATTAATAAATATCACTAGAATGACAATCTTTTAATAAAATATTTTAGGTCAAGGAGTACAAGTAATTTACGAAAGAAAGATAGAATATATAACGAATGTCATAATGCTTGTACTTATTCCATTGATAATCGCCATCATTTTTAGTTTTGTGAGAAAACGTTTCTCTTTTAAACCTTTCGAAATTATTTCGCAAATGAAACAGGCAAAATTTACTCTAATCGAACCATTAATGGGAAAGGGTAAAGGTGTACGTTTTGGGGATGTAGCTGGATTAAAGGAAGCTAAAATAGAAGTGATGGAGTTTGTTGATTATCTGAAAAAACCAGAACGATATAAATTACTGGGCGCTAAAATACCACAAGGCAAGTGCACCAAAACACAAACATTTATGTGTGTGCTTCCAACAAGCGACACAAATGACAATGGATCATCCTTGTTATTTGCCAATGTTAAACAAAGATGCATGATCATTGTGTCGCTTGTTGGAAGGCACACATATAAATAAAACATCATTCTAAGTTTATGCTATAAAATTGAATTCTAAAAATATAATCCTATTTTCAGGCGTTTTACTTTTGGGACCTCCTGGATGCGGTAAAACATTACTAGCTAAAGCTGTGGCGACTGAAGCGAGCGTTCCTTTCCTATTTATGAATGGCTCCGAATTTATTGAGGTATTCGGTGGTTTAGGTGCTGCTCGAGTCAGACATTTGTTTAAAGAGGCTAAAAAGAGGTTTGTCTATTTCTTTCTTAAGTTTATTTTAATAATACTTTAATATTTGCTTTAATTCCTTAGAGCACCAAGTATTATATACATCGATGAAATTGACGCAATTGGCAAAAAACGTTCAGAAAGCTCATTCGGAATTGGTGACCGAGAATCTGAACGAACGTTGAATCAACTTTTAGTCGAAATGGATGGGATGATAGCAAAAGAAAATGTCATTATATTGGCCTCAACGAATAGGGCAGATGTATTGGACAAGGCATTATTGAGGCCTGGCAGATTTGATCGACACATTTTAATCGATCTTCCCACGTTGGAGGAAAGACAGCAGATCTTCGAGACTCATCTAAAAAAAATATCTTTAGAAGACAAACCTTCGAAATATTCGAAATATCTGGCTTTTCTTACACCCGGTTTCAGTGGTATTGCACTTATTTATTTTAAAAAGAGCTTTATATTATTCTTGAGACTTCCACGGATGCTTTCTATATAAAAATTATGCGTTTCGTGGGTTTCTTGCGTGTTCAGATCCATTCTTGGAATGCCAACGTTTCGTAAACTTTGCAGTTTACTTCATCAGGGCAAGGAGCAATCTGATACTGATCTGTTTCTCCGGGTCATTCCTCTTTTATATATCATGCTACTTATTGGAATAATGGAGGGAAAGGAGAGAATTGAGGGTGGGAGGTTGGGAGAGATCGGTCAGTCCTCATTAACTGGGAGAATAGTTTTCCATATTTTATTTATGTTGTAGTTATCATTATCTCTATTTACATTGTTAGGGTGTTTTTGTATCTACGGCTTCTCTATACTTTCTTGGAAAGTATGATGTAATGTTGGCTATTGTGATCGTTTTGTCAAACAGTATTTGATGTTTTGTTTCGATGTTGTGTTTTGATAGTGCTGATTACGTGACGTGTTTTAACTTGACATCACGTTGGTGTCCTTTTATCCGTGAGTTGACCATTCTCCCAGTTTCTCCAATGTATACTTGCCCGCAGGAACAAGATATTTTGTACACTCCTGCGGAGCTGAGGGGAGGTTTGATCTTCAGGATTTCTTAAGATTTGTACTATTTTTTTGGATGGTTTAAGAAAAGTTCAAATATTGTTTTATGTCCGATCTGTTACTCCTTTGACATATGGGAGAATGGATCCTCTCGTCTGATTGTGTCACAATCAGACGAGAGGATCCTATCCATTCTTCATGAAACATTGATATTCCAAGAATGGATCTGGACACTGGGAAGAAACCCGCGAAATGCATAATCTTTATATAAGAGCTTTATATATATATATATATAAACACTATTTCAATAATTGCATGAATAAATAATGTTTTAGGTGCTGACATAGCAAATGTTTGTAACGAAGCTGCACTACATGCTGCGAGGGATAAGAAGAAACAAGTAGACAATAACGATCTTACATACGCAATTGACAGAACGATTGGTGGTTTGACAAAGAGAAATAATCCGCTAATACCATCCACAAAACGCATCGTCGCCTATCATGAGGCTGGTCATGCGTTAGTAGGATGGTTAATGGAACATACTGATGCCTTGCTCAAAGTAACGATAGTGCCACGAACAAATTTAAAACTGGGATTTGCGCAATATACTCAATCTGATCAGAAGCTCTACAGTAAAGAGCAAC